AAAGTAGTTAAAGTCACGGGTGGCGAGGGCGGTAGAGGTGGCGGTGGTGCCACCGAAGGTAGAAGAGGGCAAGGGGAAAGAGGTAGACAGGGGGAAGAGGAAGATATAGGGGGTCCGCCTGCCACGCGCTGCCTCTTCTTTCTCCTTCGCCTTCACTTCCTCCTGCTCCTCCTCTCCCCTCCTCCCCCTCTCGCTCATCTACCTCCCTCAACCACCTCCTCTTCCGCCTCCTTAACTCCTCCCTGACTCCTCTTCCATCCACTTTGGACGATCATCTTCCGTGCCGCAATATGTAACAACGACTCGTCACACTCTGCTTGTCGGCGCACAAGATAATTGCCCTCATTATAGTTATTTAAAAAGCGCACCGCGTGCGCGAACGCGCGCCACCGCCGCCGCCTCCGACGCGATTGAGCCGCCGATATAAAGACGCTGCCAAGCGCGAATTAATCGCAGGGGATGCTAGCGAAGGGCGGGAGGGGGAGGGGGAGAGGGAGAGAGAGAGAGAAAGAAAGAGAGCAAAGAAATACAGACGGTCGCGCGACCGCGAGGTAGCTGATGCTTTCCGTCATTCCGTTCTTAGGGGCAGCATTAGCTCGTTCCACTTCAGAAGAGTCGCACTAGCTACATAACGAGCTGGACCGAGAGGACACGCGAAAGTTAAGAGTACGGAAACTGATTTTTATAGGATAACACTCAGTCCGTTATATTTACTATTTTTACCATTTTTTCAAGATATCAACGAAAAAGATGATTAGATAAAGAAAAGAATTTTCATATTTTGTCATACAATTTTCACCTTATTTAATTTAGACAAGTTTGTTGAATTTGCAATTCTACATAAAATGAAGGAGGAAAGATTATTTCTTTAAAATGTATCAAATATAAGGTTTTATATACATACTAATGGTGAGCTTTGTATAGCGAAACGCTATCTATTTCTAATGTGCTATTACCAAGTGCAGTAAGTACGTTATAAGCCGCCGCGACGTCGTTATTTTTTAACGAAGAGCCAAAGGAGATAGGCATGCTCCTGATTTTCTGGTCTGGTTGGGATTATGATGTTGCAACATGCAGCGAACGCTACTATTTCAGACACAAAGTGCTGGAATGTGCGTTTATTAGCGGTCGCGGACTTTAATGCATGGCGGCGGAGGCGAATCATCGGACGTGCTGTATTTGTATAGCGGATACCGTTTTAAGTAACGGTAAACACCCGAGAAAACGTCGGGGTGGGCGATAATTAAGGCACCGTCGGGTTAAGCCAACCGTTTCCTCCCGAATACCGAATTAATCTTGAAATCGACGGAATTAAGGAGAAAAAAGCCGAATTTCAAATTATAACAATTAAAAGACGCGAAAGAGAGAAATATTAATTATAGAACTCGCAATAATAATGATACAGAATTCATGTATTTTTTCGTAATTTATGTTTTACGATTTAGAGTCGATGAATTATCGCCTATATCAAGCGGTAATACGCATCACGATGCGAAACGTATATCCAATGATAAATGGCGGTGTCGAATTCAGACGAGCGCGAGAAATTGGATTATTTTTGGTATCCGATAAAAGCCGACGTGTATATATCCGCACCGGTTCTGTGCTTTCTAAATACGTTTGCCGCTCATCGAGCATCAGATTTACGTTTACACGCGCGTTTAATATATCGGAACGACGATGGAAAATTCATGTTCATTCGCGACCGCGTACGTGAGATTCTCGCCACATAGAACGCGCCGGAAACCGACAGTCAGAAACGGTAACTTGCACATCGAGATCCTGCGTTTTTGTCAAGATCCTAATCGGCGGCTATCCTCAACTCTAACGTGCATAATTTTTGTTATTATCGCCCACAAACTCTCTCCTATTGCTGTAGCAACGCTTAATAATTGCTTTTTGGCCAACTCGCGTTATCGCTACTGGAATATTAAACCAGTGGTCCATGACATCACTGAACCTTTACTTATATTTACTCTTCGGTATTCAACGCAATTTCTTTAATCCGATCTTCGTTCGCACATGAAGACCGGATATAAGTTCGAAGTTATATTTTTAACCTCGTGAAAAGAATTCGCACGACAAAAGTATCCCCGCAGGTCTTCGCGGATAAAAAATTGCACCGCGGGCATCTCGTATTTGTATTCAGCAGGATCGTGAGGACGCGATGCGGTCCGATAAACGTTCCGCGAGATACAAAGCGGCATTACCCTGAGATATAAACGTAGAAGCCACGTGCGCGAAATATATCTGCGCGGAAGCCATTTGTTGATGATCTGAAACCGCAGACCGCTTTATCAACGTGGGAATTTTTCCACCTCCCTTGTACTTTTACATGAGGCCTATGTATATTTTTTATACAACAGTACGCATATGTGAATATAGTATTATAAAGCTTTTTTTAGTTTTTAGTAGACTTATAAAATTATATTTATACATTATATTTATACATATGTGTTGGTATTATGCACCCAGTTTGTGAATTTACGTTTTAATCTCTTCTTTTTTCATCGTTATATCTGCTCGTTCGATATGACGGCGAATACACTTGTTAGCCGATCTCTGTTGGTTAATACTATTATTATTTAACTCTAGGAATTCATGCCCAGGCGAATCCCCTAAAGCGCGTGCATTTGCATGCATTTAAACCGTGCGCGACCGCATGCATACGGGTCGCATCTTGGAATCATCCGCGGGGATTCCACGTGCCGCAATGCCGTAGAGATACAAAGTTATAGGTACCGTACGACGCAACTGCGGGGCACGCAGGTGGTAGATTTTCCGATCGCGGTTCCCGCGTGTGCGCGGCCACGATTTGTGCGTCGTCGCGCGCCGTCGTCATCGTCGGGGACTTTTCGCGAACGAAGGGGCCGCGAGGCCCGGGGCCCCGTGCGTCGATTGTTCACGACGACGCGGACGCAGCACGCGCAGCAATGAAAGCTCGACGGCACGAGTAAAAAGCCTGTGAGGTAGACATAAATAAATAGATAGTGGGTGTGGTTGGTAAGGCCGCACACATGGCGTCGTGACCCGTCGTCTCCGTTCGTGAGCTCGAGGCCAGCTCGAGTTATGCCCCGCGGAATGTTGCTCCTGCCGCGCGCGCAAGCGAGCGAACTGCAAGCAAGCGCTTTCGGTATCGCGGTTAAACGTAGTTTCGCGTGCACTTGTCTCCTGTCCCCTTCAATTGCGTTCCTCCTCGCGACCCCGTGTTCATCAATATTTCGCGTTTCTGCCGAAAATCTAGGAAATACGTTGTACGATTTTTATTTGACGATAGACGAAAAGTCCAAGGAAATCGATACGGCATAAAAGATTCCGCGATGATGGATAAATAAATAAAAACGCTCGCAAACGTTACGCAATTACAAGAGATTTTCGTTCAAAGAACGAGCTCTTTCGGTCGTTTACGAACCGTAACGGGGTCAGATTGGGGTTCCGTATAGCGTGCGACGATCGAGGGTTGATCCGGAAATTCAGGAGTCTACAAACGTGAAACGTGTGCGTCGTGTAACGCCGTTCATGACTTAGCACGGTGCTTGGCTTTGGCGGTTGAGGCTGCCGATATACAATGCCGCATTGTTTCGTCGTTGCCATCTTAGTCGGTACTCGGTAGCACATAAACTGACGCCAAGCCAATGTTTATTATCTTCTTTCGCGTAACAAAACAAAATATCCCGACATTATATTATCCGCGTTTCTTGCGAGTTCGTGCTCGCAATCAATCTCCTACATAAAATCCGGGAGGCCGATACTCCGTTGTATTTTCAAGCGGCGCACGAAGCAACATGAGGATAACCAACTCCGAGTTTGTGCAACTCTTAGGAAACGGATGTTTTAGAACAGATAAACAGATGTGCACCGTGTTGTTGGTAGAGTTATAATGCTAGACAATTATCAAAGAATATGTTGTTAGTGTTGTGAGGAAAGATATCTAAAAAAGAGAGAGAGAGAGGGAGAGAGAAAGAGAAAGGAATGATCTAAATGTCGCGCACCAAATGTCGAATCAGAGTACGAATACAAAGTGAAATATCGAGATTTGCAGACTAACATTTCACGCACATTTTCTTTTGCGTTCTACATAGGAATCGAAAGAGGTCATCCATCCACCTCTCGTATGAGCCAGGTTTCCACTTTCATGGATGGCCGCCCGGCTCGTGCGCCCGCGCGTGCGTCACGATTTTATTTTCGTCGCCAGCAACGCGACTCCCGTATTTCGCGAACAATTATTACATATTCTTCGGATGGAAAGTTTCCTTTCTCCCGAAAGCGGCAGACGAGGTGAGGAATCACCGCGATAGATTTGCAGATAGAGTTTCGTTGTGCCAACAGTGAAAGCCGCGATCTCTGATCAGCCTTGGCACTATTAGATGCGAATCGAATTCTGCGTCTCGCGATGCGCGAATCTTCTCCTTATTTTCGCGCGACAGGAAGAAGAGAGAAAAAAGGGGAATTGGAAAAAAGCCGCGAGAGCCGCGTATTGGCGGGGGAGCTGTGCGTATAGAGAAATAGCTTTCTTATTTCCATGAAAATTGCGTTCGGCGATTTCGACGACAATGCCATTCCGGTGTTTTAAATGCAAATCCACAAAAGGAAAAACCGTAAAGGCATTATAATTTATATTACTACATGTGGCAGCGGCGCTTCCGGCGAAAGAGCATAGGCGCAGTTCCGGTCAGCCCCACGGGTTGGAGAGATCCTACATCGCCAGATTATGAGCCCACCGCCGCTTTTACAATGGATCGTCCGCCTCTGAGTCGTACGTCAGCAAGAATAATTCTGCGTTACCGCCGCTCGCGCTCGTCTTGCCAGCAAAATAACACAAACGATCGCCGAAGGGCGTGCGGCCTCACGCGATACAAATATAAAAACTATTTTTCTTCCATTGTCTACACGGGATAAATAATTTTCTTACGTCTTTACAGATATTATCGACGTTTATTACCCAATATCTTAATGTAATTATAAATTATGCTAAGAGCGAAAGTATAGATGGTGTGCACTTTCCATGATTAACTCACAATTATATTTATCGATTCTCTATGATACATTTGTGATATTAGCGATAGACAGGCACGTATAACGAATAAATATTCAAGATTAAAATAAATAGCGGAAGAAAAAATAGGATTTTTCAAACTATGCCAAAAATTGACCGTTTTTGATGAATTCCACGATCGCCTGGACAGTGGTCTGGAAGCGCACAAAATTCTCTCGACCATCCTCGGGAGATTTGGCATTGTAGATAGCGTTCGTGTACGCCGAGGTCAATTCGGACACCAATATCTGCGCTTTTTTAGCGGCCGCTTCGATCGAGCCTGTGGGCGTCTTAATTTCTTCCGCGGTCCTCACGACTGCCTCCTTAATGATTTCGACGAGCTTTGAGTCATCCTCCGTGTTCGAATCCCCGCTCGAGATCTTCTGCAGGATGTCTCTCATAGCCGCTACGTTCGCATCTTGCAATCAAACAAGATAAAGAGGTCTGGATTAATCGAGAATTAAAATCTAGTTGCATGTATAACTCTAGTAATAACTAATTACAAAAAAATTGACTCTACTCGCTTCGATTATATATCTTTCACCTGCGGATTGTGTGGTTGTTTCCCTAATTATCCTCTGGGACTGCGAGACAGTGCTCGCCAGCAGAACGATCGCGACAATTGCAAACTTTGCCATCTTCGGAAATCGCATCGAGCAGCAAACTGTCAATCGGTTGTCCAGCCACGCTCTCTCTCTTTATATGAATGCATGTCCCCGCGAGTGCATCGGGTAGGGATGACGTTATGTAAAATGTAATTTGCCGTTCGTCGTGTACGCGGTCGTTGACCATTATAAATGATTCTAATGGGTGTCATTAAAAAAGAAGACGCGCGAGAGAAAGTGGAGCGTCGCAAACGGCATGTTTCAAGAAAGTATGCTTTGTTTTGATTTCTATCCGTTGACAACCGGAAGAAATTAGCTCGAATAAGATAAGTGTTGAGCGAAGCATCTTTTTTTAATTACCTGTGCGATTTTCAACTGACCAAACGAATATTAATCCGTATTCTTATACCTTCGTAATCAGAAGAGTGCTGATTTTGCAATGATCTTCTAAAGAGAAGAATAAAACGCCTGATTTCTGAATTATGTTACAGAGCTTATCATATATTTTTTCCTTTTACTAGACATCACAGACGCGCGCTAGTTAGCTATTACTATTACATTACACTATTAACCCCTTGATACACAAAACTATTAAAATATGCGATGACAGATGCTCACGAAGTAAGTCCAGTGAGAGATCGGCATCGCGGAAAAGCAAGAATAAAACCTCTTACACGGCTTTTTTAAAAGTAGGCGTTTTATATTTATTACACAACGCAAGATCTTCGAAATTATGCATATGTCGTCATGATGTTGCGATCGGAAGTAGTGAGAAGGCTTCAACCGGAAGCGGTTCAAATCAAATGTTCTTTGTCAGCGAATTGTGGGTCGCGAAGCGAGTTTTTCTCAACCGAGCAGCAATCGTCGTAAAAGCGCTGCTGCAATTTTTCGTTGCAGTCTCTATGTACATCGCGATACACGCAATTCGACTCGACACGACGACGCGCTCAACAGGTCGGTCGTTCGCGGTCTCCCCCCTTTCAAAAAATGCAGAGGCAATGCCGATACTGGCCGACGGTAAAAGTGCGTGAACACAGGGAGGGAGTGCATCCAGCCATGATTCCTCCTCACCGATTTTTACCCCCTTCTTGCCCCTTTCCGTGTGCCTCGTTCTCTTCCCTACCCCTGCCGTTACCTTGACGCGTCGCGTCAAATTAAAGGTTGCCGAGTCGCTTTCCACCTGAGAAACGATTCAAATCTTCTGCAACGATTCGCGACAGCGGTTCAGCTTCGCGATTGTCCACCAGATGTTCCCGAATAAAGGCGAACAAAGCGAAAACGAGAGTCGGCTGAAAAAAATCGTGGTCGACGCGACTTCTAATCGACGACGTTCGCCGCGGATGAGACTCTCTGCCTTGCATAGAGACTCGCAAGAAAGCGTACCTTAATGCGGGATGAATGAAAATACGGGTGCTTGAGTAAGCTTAAATTACATTTCATTCATGCAAGAAAAGCAGACACGCGGGAGTCGTCCTTCCGGCTCGCGTTGCGCACGTATCGCAGGACGGTGGACTTGCACGTAATGACGACTGGACTATAATGTGTATTATCCCGACATCCTGTACGGCGGCGACTTCTTATGCGTTTCTCTCTTGCGTCTAGGGTGCCGGCCCTTGCTGCGTTACGACAGCGATTACGATCGTAGAGGCGACCTTAATTTTTGTGCGAACGCTCGCTTTTTGCAGAATGGCAACACTTTCGTCCATTCTGCTTCTCATTACCCATATGGATCACTATAAGGCACTTACTATTGCCACATAAACTGACTTTCCGAGCGGTTTCTGATCGCGAGGTAGTTACGTAAGATCTCGCCCGAGTAACGCCCAATTTTTCCGACGCACAAAGAAAGGCGTCCAAGCGGAGACGCGAGGGCGAAATATCGATCGCACGTACCATCGATCACGATCTTATCTGGCGCACGGACATGGGATTCACGTCGACTGGCAATGGGATGACGAGGAAACACAAGGTCCCACGTATATCGTGAACAGTACAATGTATCGGTACGCTTCGCTCCGCACCGCGCTCCAGTACCGCGATCCACGATCATCGATCCACGATCACCGATCCACAATGAGAGACTCGAGATCGCAGGGCGACGAAGAGGGTACTCGTCTCACCGATCGGGGGGAGGGGAGGTGAGAAGAGAAAACCAGAGCAGACCGATCGACGGACAGTCTTTATTCTCGTATCGGCACCGGACAACGCCAACGATGGAAGCGACGTGGGTCTATTATGGGCATGGGTCCATATCGCGTGGAGCACAATGATCAGTGCCGACGCGCAGAGATCCTCTCCGGATCGTCGAGAAACACCGGCCGCGTCGTCGAGCAGGCCCCGCTGAATGAGATCCCAACGTGTTCATCTCGCGCTTGGGGGATTATGGCGAGCGTGGGGCGCCGAAGATCGACAGGACCGATTACGTCCGCGCTGACTTTAAGCCGTTTTAAATGCTGCCATTCAACCCGGACGGGCAGTCTCCTGACCTCGCCGCTCGCGGTGCACCGATTTGGCGTTTCTCGCCGGTTCTTTTCTTATATTTTGTCTCACACACAATGCGCGCTCTCTCCGTAGATGCGAAGATGGCCTCCGTACCCGGAAATCGCGAATGACAACGGTCCTCTGCAACTTAATTTCTTCGTGAAAGTTATTTCGTTGTGGAAATTAAAAGATCGATCATTGTTTTATTAATTACATCAATTGTATCAGGTTTTTCTTCTTTGACGATTGTCTATTTCTGCGGATTTAGATGTTGTAATATTTTAGATGCTAGAGTTGGAGTAGATTCTAGTGAAAGACCGGCCGACTTAGAGAACGGGAAACCGAGATTCGGTACGGCCTGTGGGGGTTCCGCTTGATCAAACCGTGCGATTCTCACATGCAATCGCGGGGATCCATGAAAAACAATTCCATGAAATTAATAAATCTATTCTCGGGAGGACCTCCTACGACGCAGGCGACTTTTTAGGGCAACGGACGATTCCGCGAAACGTGGGTGATCCAATTAGGCGCGGCTGCTCCAAAAAAAAAAGAAAGAAAGAAAAAAATCGTCGCGGTCACGAACGTTATCCGTTTACGCGCAACAAGATAAATTAGCACGCTTTTTCGCGTCAAATGAATTTCGCGACGGAACAAGATCCGGCTTTGGCAACGACACAACGCGGCTGACAAAAATAATAAACAAACTTAGAAACAGCGGGGCGCAAGTGAGATTAAGAAGACCGCGTCTTCACCGAGACGGCGTGGCTTTACCACCCGTCGATCGATCTGTCGCCTGATTTCTCTTCGCAGCATCGAGTCACGGTGCTTTTTGTCGGCCGCGGCACACTGTAAACAGGCGGCGGTTTCCCAGATGTAGAAATCCTCATCTTCCATTTCGTCGAGGAACTGTAATACAATGGCATACCTAATCAAAAAATCACGACGCTTCGAAAAAGCAAAACATTTCGCGCTTGTTCACGATGGCGATTCCGCTGGCGGAATAATCGTCGCGTAACGATGTACTTTCCATCGATTGACATTAACTTTTTCTACGCCGCGCAGCGACAAATAGAGAGAGAAAGAGAGAGAGAGAGAGAGAGAGAGAGAGAGAGAGAGAGAGGATACGGCGCCCCGGATTTCCTTCCGATATTCGCGTAATTAGGCTGTTTTACTATTATTCGCAGTTTTGTGAACTTTCACCGCGACGTAGCTTCAAAAGCTCCTGCGTTGAATCCAGACACTCTGTGTACAATACCTTGTAATATGTATATATCACATATAATCATTTTATGCACGAGGCATTCTATATTAAAATTACTATGTTCGCGCGCAACTTTATCTCGCGAGATCTTCTCTCGATGAAATAACTGTGTATATAGACTTAAAGTACTCGATACAAAGCAGGCGATCATTAAAATATCGCACGTGACGTTCGAAGATGTAATCAGGGTGATCCGATGAAGGATGCACGAAGGTGCTCTTTGAAGAAATCTCGATATGGCATTCGAAAAATCGACGTTTTGCTCAGGGGCAGGTGTCGTCGTGTCGGCGCGGCGTATCGAGTTAAGGAAGTTGAAAGAGTGGGTAAAAGGAGTTACGTTAAGCACCGGCTCATCGTCGCCTGAGGGCCTCGTTATCATAGTTTAATGACGATGGGGCGTTTCAGTCGCAATGGATTACGGTACACGCTAACCGGCAATATGAATGAATTAATAATCGATATAATGTTCCGGCGAGCTCGCTGAGCTGGTCAAGACTTTTAATGCGAATTGGCGTAAAAATACATCCAAGGAGTTTGGTAATTTTAAGTATTTTGAAATATTTTAATATCTCAATGTGTAATTAATTGCGAGGAAATAGAAAGTTAATTAGTGCACAGTAAAACATACGTTTTTATTCAAAAACAGGTTTTAAACCACGGCTTTAAATCATCTGCATATTTGAAATTTAGCATTTAACATTTCAATGGAACATATGAAATTTTACAAGTGAGAAAAAAGGAGAGAAAAAGAGAAATGCTCATAAGGTACTTGAAATTATTAGACAATTTAGCTTATAACTTACAAGACTCATTCTTAGACGCACTGCGCGACACAGCATCGGTTTAGTATGATGGGAAACGTAGTATTCGAGCAGAAGGTTAGTGTGAGAACGCGCGGGGTTTCCTGAAAACGATGTTGTACGCCGTAAAACGCGACAGTTTGCACGAGCATTGCGGACGGCGTATTGCGGTGTACATCATAGACAAAGCCTGGATTATTTTTCGCGGTGGCAAAGGAAGCGTGCCGGTATTGTTGCCGACCACGAACAACAATAGTTTCTCCTCGCTCGC